TAGTATTGTAGAGCTAGTTAAAGTAAAAGAAATTCAATTAGAATTAGTTAAGATTAAAGGACATAGTAATAATAGGTGGAATGACAAAGCAAATAGTTTAGCTAAAAAAGGTGCTGCGGAGGATAATATAGATAGTATTGTTTATAACTCTCCACTTAGATCTAACATTTCACTATTCTGGGATAAGATATTTATTGAATATCTGGCAAGAGAAATAACCAAGATTTTACTCGACTTCAAGATAGATGCAGATTGGAGAGAATCGAAAGCAATCCAAGAAGTTGAACTGAAAGAAGACCAGGAGGAAAACAATTGGACTTATTTTTGGAGAAAAATCAAGAAGAGCAATGGTATCAGATGTATGACAATGAAAAAAAGCAAGCGTCTTGGAACTCTTTTCAAGTGTGCTAATGAGATGCTTTCGGTACTCGGAACATTATTGCGAAGACGTTCAGATATATATCAAGATTCAAACTGTATTGTTTGTAAAGAGAAGAAGGAAGAAGATCAGGATCATCTGGTATGCTGCAAAGTACAAGAAAACAACTGGAAGGAGGCTGAGACCTGTGCAGCGAATATAGCCTGGGCAGCTCTTTCAAAAGAAACTAGGACAAGAATAGATAAAGACCTCTTAGAGAAAACGCTCTAAAGAGAAACAGAGAAAGAGTTCTATGAAACAAGATCCAAAGCAATCAAGGGCTTAGTTCAAGAAAACTCAGTAGAAAGGATATAGGAGATTCTACAATCGAATAAAGAAGCCAAGACATATATCGAGCTTGCGTTAGATACAATTTGAAACTGCTTCACAAAAACATTTGGAAGGGAAGATGCAAGCTTCTTCGCAAATAGGAAATTAGCAAAGGTATCTTAACCAGAGACAAAAAGTGAAGGTGCAAGCTACCAACAGAGAAAAGAACAAGACCAGAATACGACAAACCAAGATCTAAAGGAGAGGGTACAGGGAGAAATATTTCTTTAGAGAAAATATATAGAAAACAGAAAAAAGAAAGGAAAAGAGGAGGGTTTAAAAAATATAGAGAATCATTGGTATAATAGTTTTAAGGATTTAATTCAAAATAGTTGCAAGCCCTTTTGGTATGGCTTGCACGGCTAACCTGGTATTAGCCTTCTGGTCTCGAAAGAATTTTCGGACCAGTGCGGCAGACCACTTCTGGGCACCCATAAGGTAGCTGGGGATGTCGGGCCTAGATATTAAGCTCAACATTATGTAATTTACTTATATAATAATCTTAATAAAGGATCACCGACAAGGTTGCCAAAGTTAAAAAAAAATATACGCCTGTTGATTGGCTGCCTTAGTTTAATGATTATCCATCTGTTTTGATCATGTGCTAATAAAGTAGTTTCTGATTGATTAATTATTATATGACAAAGCCCATGTTTTTTCGAAAAGTAAGAAAGTTCTCATGCTGAATGTTTATCATTACCTATTTTGGGTATTTTTAGGTAAACAACATAAAAAAATTATAAAAATCATAAAAAAATTGGCTAACTTCATAGTCAAGATTCTCTTTTGGTTTATTTTTAATCACCTTTGAAATTTTATGGGAAGAACCTTCAAATGCTAGAGAATTTGAAAATGATACCTAGAAACTAAACCAACAACTTTTTTATTGTTAAATAAGCCTAGAAAACAATTTTTGCTTAAATTTTACTTATAAAATTTGGGTGCGTCAATCATTTGACCTACAATTAAAAATTTTACATGTGACATCTGGACCAACTGTTATCGCATAAATTTCGTATCCTGGAGTATAAACTGAATTTAATATTTTTGTTATAATAACATAAAACCTTGACCGGCTTTAATATTCGGCCTGCATTAAATTTTATGCGGTGTCACTCTCCTGCAGAATCATTTCTCACGGTCAATTTTGATTAACAGTTAATAATTTACGCGCTCTAGAACTTTTCCTTACAAGATCCCGCGATAAGAATGGGATTTAAAAAGGCTATAATGGCAATGAGTATAACGTTCTTTATCAGTAGTTTTATCAAAATTCATATGTCGCAAGAACTTCCATCTCCGAGATCGTCAGATCTAAACCCACCTTAAGCGATCGTCGAATCTAAGAGGGGTTAATTTTACCAGAAAAATAACAAAATAGGTTCAGTGTTTGGAACTTATGACCGAACGGAGTTTCTTTGTTAAGTGTGTTCTGACATTGTGTTAGAGTAACGTAATTACTAAGCTTGTGATTTTTCTTCTGGCAGGTTCACTAGATCTAACGAACGTGAAGTATAAAATAAGCGATTTTTTTTGTTTCTTATAGGGTGGGTTATAATAATATTTTTTTTGCCAATACATATTTTTTACCCGTTCATAATTTATTTTTAAAGTAATGTATTATACCATTTAATAGTCTATAAAAACGAAACTTTACTTACTATATTTGTTTTATTTAGAAACGTAAAATGTTCACTAACGATAATACTACCCCCACAACTAATGACACCACCGCCCCATGACTAATAATACCACCATCCCCACGAGTAATAACACCACCACCTCCACGACTAACAATCATAATACCCCCCCAGACTAACAATTATAACGCCCCTAGAGCTAACCAAAGAATACATAGTTCCAATCGTCAACGTAATAATAGGAGAAACAGACGTAGTAAGTAGAGGCATAGCCTTATTGCTTTTGCAATAAAATTCTGCTAAAGCTAAGAAGCTAAGACAATAAGCTAAAGAATCTCAATTTATTAATTTAGATGATCCATACTATGATCCCGAAGATGACGATTTTCTTGAAAGTGATCCTTTTTATTATGTTTCAAAAGAATACGCACAATATTGTATAGATAATGATGACCATAGTCGTCTAAGTCGTAGGGATCGTAGGGACGCACTAAATATTCTAGATCAAAGTTAATAAATATTTTTTTATTTGTATGCCGTTTCGGCAAAAAAAATTATTAAATAAAGAAGGGGGATTGGACCCACCATTTTTTATTTTAGCGTGATTGTGTGAATGGGTAGAAAAATTAGTCGAGATTTAAATGTGTATAAATAGAGGTATAGCCGTAATGTGTTATGAAACAAAATCTTATGAACTTACTTTATTTTTCTATGAAGTAAGGCATTTTGTACCTGTTATTCCTGGCTAAAAATTTGTATGAATTGAGTATGGATTTCTTCCCATTCTTTCATCAGATCGTCAAGCCATATAGTACTTAACCACTCTTCAGTATACTGCGACGTAATAACTCTTCCCCGATCAGCCTATCCCGGTCTGTTAAAAATTTATGATATTTTCTAGGATCTTCCTTTCTCTTTATTCCACCATGATAGAAGCGCATATCTCTCTCCAAGTCCTCACGGAAGCATCCCATGGTCCACCTATTTTTCTCAGCCTCAGTAATGATCGAAAATTTTTCAGGATCCTCTCCATGTTCAATAGCATATTGATAAATCTTATTTTGATCACTCACAGGAATTGAGGAATTGTGAGTTTTGTTTGATATACTTACCTGAATTTCCGGCGAACTCTGTATAGCAAGTATAACTTTCTTTTGATCGATACGAAAAGGGCAATTAAGAAAATAGTTATAAATTCGCCATAATGTCTTTGATAAATTTGATCGGTCAGAGCTTGTATTAGATCGATGTTTTTTTAATATCGACTGTGTTGATAATTTAGTCTTGACTGCTATGCTGCTAGATACTTACTGCAAATGCATCCTGTGCGACGCGAACCTTGTTTATTTCAAAAGTGTCGTTCAAATTCTATTTTTTATGCTATATCTAAAAAAGCTAATTTTATCATCGGCGACACCTATTTAATTTTATAATTCAAAATTTTAAAATAGAAAACAGGATCTTTTAAACTTCCATTTATTTTCGAAATAAGTTAATTCTGAAACTCCCTAATAGAAGCTCCCTTAATAGAAGCAAGCGTTTTACAATTTTTTAATTAATTAGTAAACAATTAACAAAATGATAAGAGTGTTAATGCTAAATAAAGCTCCGTAAATAAAATAATAAGTATATATTATATTTATAACTTGAATAATTTTATTTTCATTTAATTTCAATAGTCGAATTGATTTCAACAACTAAATTAATTCAACAGTTAAAATTTCGATGGTTTAATTAATTTTTAACTTCTAAAGTCAATTTCAGTTCATAGTAGCATTATATAGCAATATTGGAGTTTATGGTTTTTGGAATTACAATTATGCATTAAAAAATAAGCATTAAAATTTCTGTTCACAGTATATAGCAATATTGGAGTTTTTGGATACATTAAAAATAAGTATTAAGAATTTAACAGTAAACTATGTTCTCTTTACTGCTTTAGGAATTACGACTTCATCTTTGTTTAAAATTGCACCCCAATTGGCATTGTAGACATGATTTACATCCCGCTGTTTTGAAAAGAGTTAGAAGAATTGTAAAATGCAAAATAAAACAGTATACTTGAGTTGAAAATAACACACCAATCCTTCCAGCATAGCGATGATTTCATTTCTTAAACCTTCTTGTCTTACTTTTAATGCATCAATGTCTTTTTCTTG